CAAATACAAAGTGGTTGCATTGTGAATGGTGTGCAAGGGGAAAATATACACCTTGGATAGAGAGAGTGGATGCATTGGGCCCATAGGGATCTCTGAGTCAAGTAAAAATATTTAGCACATGTATTTATATGAATATATGGTGTTTGAATTGGTTTTTAACCACTCTTATGTGATTTATGTATTTTAGTGGCTTAGGATTCATTTTGAAAAATGACACCAGGGTGGTTAATTTTTTATATAAGGATTTTTCTATCATTTGAATATTTTATTAGGTATTCTTAGTCTTATTTGATGTGTCTAAAATTTTCCCACAAGTTTGTTACCCTTAGGATGAGACTTGAACAATTTTAAAAATGATTTTTACCAAGAAGCTGTACTTTTGCATTCGGGTGTCCAAATTTCAATTCGACCGTTAGATTTTCTTGACATTTGAGTCATAAGTAAAATCTTTTATAATTTTCATGTGAGATTTGGAATCACCTCAATCAGATATTGAACAAAGAAATGAAAGGCTCTGAAAGTTGGTTTAGAGATGCTGTCCTGTCAATGCTGTTATGACAGCAACAATTTCTAAATTTGGGATGCGCACGAATGTTAATATGACTGTTGGATATTTTTGAAAATTGATACATTTGTAATACTCTTTAAATGTGACGTGCAGGCTCTAGAATTTCTCTGATCTGAGGTTGGATGACGAAATGATGCACTCTATAAGTTGGTTCGAATGTGCTGTCATGACAACAAAAAATGCCTAACTTGTAACATGTCCAAATTTTAATCTATCCGTTGGATCTTTGTGAAATTTATAACACTATTAGTACTCATTAAAAGTGATATGTGAGCTTTGAGATCACTTCAATCGAAAGCCAATGGTAAATCAACACCTCCTGAAATTCTGCTTGGGAGGGCTGGCATGATATCAACTAATTATCCCTATTTGTCCAATTTGCTTTTATACTATATAGTAATCCTTCAAACTTTTTTAAGAGATTTTAAATGTTTGCTTTGCTATTGTATAGATTATTTGTCAACTTAAATGGTTTGTTTTCTAAGTTCATTTTAAAATTAACTCCTTAATCACACTTAGATTATTTGGTTGTAGTGTGTTTTGTTAACACTTGGGGCAAGTGTTACACTCTTCGAAAAATAGTATATGGCTAAATTTGCACCTTTACCCACCACATCATCATCATCATCATCATCATCATCAAAAACAACAATATAATATGCTATTTAAAGTTAAAAATTACACATAAGTAATAATTTTGGATAAGTTAAAAGTACTCACACACAATTCCAATCACTATAAAATTTTATATATTACTCAGTCATCAATCAAATAATCAAACGCTAAAAAATTTTCAATCAAACTAGTTAAATATTGTTCCAAAAAATACACAAAAATAAAATCTAAATATAGCTCTTATCTAATCATATATTATTGGTCTAACATGCATTTTCAAGTTATTTCATAACTTAAATTTACTATTAGAAAAATTGATATTAGTGACAAACAAATCTGTCAATAAATAGACAAAATCCGTCACTAATTTTTAATTTAGTGACAAAAATTTTTATCATTAAATTCATCAGAAATACAGTGTCACTAATCTATGTGGCAGAAATATACCTATCACTAATTTTGTGAGAGATATCACCTGTCACTAAAATAAATAAATCAATCACTATTATTTAATTAATTAATTTTATTATTAAAATAAATATACCCCACTTTTAAAGGCACCAAGCGCCTCCTCACCTTCCAATCCTAACCATCACATCATTCACGTGCCACTATTTCCTTGCAATTCACATTACCTTCTGCATTTTGAATTTGAAGAAACGTTTACCCCTACACGATCGAACCTGAGACCTTGAGTTTGTTGCACCGTAAAGCCTCCTTGTTTTGCCAATTAAGATTGACTATAAAAAACTGATTAAACTTTTAATCTTTAAAAAAATTAAAAACAAGATTTTTTATTTCATATGATTATTTTTATTCATTGTTTTTATTTTTCAATCATATAATTAGTAATTTAATTAATTATAAATGAAATACTTCAATCAAAAAATGTAAGACCTTTTTAATGTTTTAAAGTTTAATTAATGTGTTTTTTTCTTCAAAAACATCCTTAATAAATAAATTATTATATATATATATTTTTAATGAAACATCTATTAAATAAGAGTGAGTATAAAAATATGATGTTAGTTTACAGATAATTAACTATTTCATTAAAAGGTAATATTTGGTTAAAAATATCTTATACCTTTTAATGGAAAAAATATATTCAATGTTTTTTGAACTATTGATACTTAATACACATATTTCAAAATAAAAATACATATATTTGAATACACACATATATAAGTTTTAAATTTAATGAATAATATATAATTTGTATATATACTAATGATATAAAATATTTATAATATAACTTTTACAGAAAAATGAAACTATTAAAAGGTTACCAATATTACAGTTTAGTGAAATAAAATTTTCTAATGGAAAACTTCCTTTAACCCTATATTATTAACAAAATATATGTATTGAATTATCAAATGATAAAATATTTACAAATTAATGTGCACCAACAAAAACAAAATTATATTATGCATCCAATAACAAATTAAATTTCAAAATCCATTTTTGTTGAAATAGAATAGATTTCACAATTCCAAAGCTTAATGATATAATTTGGACTTTCACAAATGAATTATTACATTTTAGGAAATGGATATTAGTGAAAGATATTTTGTTACTACATTTAAAATTTTTGATAAAACAATGATATATCGCGGTTGTCACAAATCCGTTACTAGTCGTAGTATTTACTAGTGATGGAAGTGAAAATCCATCACTACTTCATCAAAATATCCAATTTCTGTAAAAGATTAGATTCCGTCAATAATTTCCATCATTAAAATACTATAATTAGTGATGGAAATTAGTGACAAAATCCAATCTTTCACAAAATTTATATTTTTTGATAAAGTAGTGATGGATTTTTACTTCTATCACTATTCCATCGCTAATTGTTATATATAGTGATGAATTTCAATCTGTCACTATATATTCGTCACAAATTTATTTTTTTTCTAGTAGTGATTTCATGTGAGCTTTTGTCAAAGGTTATTTTTTTCTTTAAAGCATTTCATCAAACACTTGTGTGTGACAATAATAACACAAAATTAATATAATCTAATCTAACAGACCAAAGCCTAATCAAGAATCAAACATGCCCAATGTAATCCATACAATAATCAAATACAAAAACCAAAAGTTAAATCATTTCATAGAGCAAGAGATTCAGAAAAAATAAGAAGAGAAAACGCAAACACTTACAGAATGACGCACCTGAGGAGAGACAAGGGTGAGGGGGAGGAAGAGCGTTCGTCAGTGGTAGAGCAAGAGAAGCGAGGTGTGTGGAGAGAAGAGGTCCGATGAACAAATCTAATCTTTTGGGGGGGGGGGAGGCATCGCATGCAGGAACATATTTTAAGGACACTAAGATTGATTCAAAATTTTAGGGGTGGAGGGCTAGTATAATGAGCATATTGGACGGTTATATTTTTAACTGTCCAATATACTTCACATTATTGGATGGTTATTATAAATAACCTTCCAATAAATGTAAATTTTTTTTAAATTATAAAATTCAAACACATATTGAATGGTTTTTTAAATAACAATTTAATATATTGAATATAGTGAACGGTTACTTATTAAACTATCTAACATTATAAATTACTGGACATATATAATTACAATCATCCAATAAGGCCCGTCATTTATACTCATTTTAGTAGTAGTGAGTTTTTAAAACTTTGTATGGTTTATCTATGTTATTTGAGCTATTTCTAGATTTACATTTTCCCTTTTGTCAGCCAAGTTGATGGATTTTTTAAAGGTTCATTTTGTCTGATATTCTATAGTGTAATTTTCTTCACAAACTTCCTCGACTTCCTTACCATAGCGGGTCATGTAATTCTTGAGAAGCTATGGTTTATTTGAAGGTATATCAATAAGTGATACGACTTGCATCTCAATTATGTATCAAATTATTTGATAACTAAGTCCAAAATCAGAGAAGACAATGAGACCATTGCAAAATATGAAAGTATAATAGATATCAGCATTTATATATGAAGTTTAGAATGCTTTTCATCAGCTAGAAAAATTTGATAGCAACATAAACAATTTTGGTGAATGTACATATAAGTATATGCTTGCTAATAATCATCAAGCAAAACCTATATTCCATAAGTCCTTCGTTTCAACAATATGAGTGTCATATTTATATCAAAAGTTTTATTGAAAGTTTTAGAGACTTTATATTATAATTATTTTTTTTCCAAGCAAGTGTATAAATGAGGAGACTCTAGACTGATTTCTATTTTTTTAAGGACCTTGCATTTGGATGTGAACCCGCTGGGATCAAATAGAGCAACTTGGTTCACTTTTGACTTGAGAGTTCCTAATTTAAAACCTTTTGCAATATAAAAAATAAAGAAGACATCAAATTCATAGACATGGACCTATAGGCCATGCACAATCTCTTTTTGGTCCCCTTGTGTTTCTTATCAATATATATATATATATATATATAGTCAAGTTGTGTGGAAGAGATTAAGAGCACCTAAAGACTTTGCTGGTGTGTTAATTTATTAATAATAACTTTATTTACATTAATTTACTGACATGGGATAAAGACAGCTGGCGTGTCTTGTCTTTTAGTATGCCAAATAAAATCATATGGGTAGCTTCTTGCACAAATTTACTTGCTTTTTTAATTATAAGCTAAGGACTTACATGAAGGGAATGACTTTGAGACGAAGATGCAATCAAAGGTGTGTATCATTTATCCAAGTTAGGTGCAATCAAAGGAATTCCAAACTCGTGTAAGAACTTAAAACACCTCATAATTCTAAGGTATGTATCATTATTGGGCATGTGTTAAATAATTATGTAGGTAGTGGAACAATAAGGAGATTCTGAATGGGTATAAAATCTGGAAATAAATGCCATTGATGTATCAAAACACATTTTAAGTTCTTGTCCAAAAACTTCAAAAGTGGAGAAGCAACATAATAGCTCTCTTAGTCTTCGATGATCCAAGAAACGATAATTTGTGCCGACAAAGCACAACCAAAAAAGAACACAAAGCAAATAAAAAGAACATCAATCCTTCACTTAAGGTTCATAAAATTGCCTGAGGTTTTTCTTGTTTAATAACTTTGACAGCCTTGTTATGGCTCATGGCATGAGCAGATAGTTGAGCTTGGTCATCACTATACTGGACTTCAGAATTTTTCTTCAAATTTTGCTTCCTCTTTCCTCTTGGCATTGGAGGTGCCATCATCTGAGTTATGGTCATTTCATCTAGCCCTTGGTCCTGAGACATTTCTGCTACAACTTGAGAAAAAGATGAACTAACCAAATCTTCTGTTGATGTTTGATCCTCCTACATTAATGACACAAACAAATAGGTTACTTATTTTATTATGTAGGTTATGGTTTAATGACACAAACATATAGGCTATGGTTTCATGGTACTTCATGCACTGTAACTTCAATTGTAGTACCCTGTGAGATTGTGGCAGAATGGCCTGAACTGCTATCACCCTTATTTTTGGAATATAAAATATAGATTCAGTCAGAAAAGGTTGTTGTTATTTAATAGACTTTTTAAAAAACATGTACCAATTGGTTCACCTGTATCGGAGCCTGATTGAATTCCTCAATAAGGTATTGACATTTTGAGTATTGGATAACACCAATGCTGGAGTTAGGATGTTCCATATTGAATTTTGTAATCTTTACCTTCAACATCATTTTTTCCCTAACAATTCTTCAAAGTTGTCTGGAAAGGCATAAGAACGTTTTTCCTAGCATAATAGAATAAGCACATCAATATATGAAATCTTTTTGTAAGGAGAATAGTGTGAGTTGAAATTTAGGACATACATTTTTCAATTGCTCTTTTATCTCAGTAGCAGTCTTTAGAGTGAACTCATAAGCATGCTTGTCAAAAAATACAATAGAGGTCTTTCCAGCGTTATCAAATACAATATAGTTTGCTTTGAGCCTAATTGGAAAGTTGATAACATGTTAGTCAACAACACAGAATAAAATGTGATCCTAAAGCGACAATCGGTAAGCAAAGTAAGGGAGCAATACTTGAATTCAATTTGACTCATATTGTCAGGGCATGTAGGGCAGACCATAACACCTTCAAAGTTGGGTCTGTGCTTGCTTCCACACCGATGCAGCCCTCATATTTCCAACCTAGACCGGTCTCCAATTTTTTCATTATGCATTCAATGATGAATGGCTTACCCTGGCAATAATAAAAGATTTAATGTAAGCTGACATTCAACTTTTATGATGGAGAATTCATAAACTCTTTCATCTCACCACTTCCATTTTTGGGATATCAGCAATCAATATCTTCTTGGTAGATCTCAGCATTGACCCCATAGAAACTTGAATAGTTTGAGTTGGCCCAACATCGGTTGTTTGGTGAGGAGTTTTCCATGGCACTGCAAAATGAAAAAATAGGGTGAGATGATAGTGGGTGTAGCATATTTGATTAATGACAACATTTAGACAAACCTATCTGCCAAATCATTCACTTCCTTGATATTTGGATTCAACCAAACCTTTTTTGCATTAAAAGATGAAGTAACCTAGACCTCCTCTACACAGTAAAGTCAGTTACTGTCCTCAAGATATAAAATCTTATTGATAGATGAAGTAACATTTAGTCTCATGGAAACAAAATTTGTAACAGAACAGTGGCCTCAAGATCTCCTTACCTTTCTCAATATTAAGTCGGCAAAGATGAATAACAAACACTAGAGGGAACTTGGTATTGTCAAGGTAGCTATAATAAGTACTTGAAGCACAATCTCCAAGAAGCATGCACACACCACTGTTGTTCCCAAAAAAAAGTTAGCAACAGCTTTTCATGTTCTCTGGAATATCATAGGCAAAAGAAGTAAAATAAATTGGCTACTATTTGTCAGATAGTGTGAACGTGAGTTTGTTTTGGGATCCATTTGTAGTCTTGTACTCCTCTAGCTTTCCTATAGACTTCAGCATCCCAATAACATCTATGAAATGGCACAGAAGAAGTCACATACATCTTCTTTTTGTTGATTTCAAAAAAATACATATGGTTTATTTTATTTACCAATCACATATTCAGGTGCAACCTTCTGCTCAAGGATGACATTGATAGGCATAAAACTAAAAGAGTTCCATAGTATGTCTGCCTTTTCTTCATCCAAAAATGTGTTTGTATTGAACATGATCTCATAAGGGTGATTAGTTGCTTTATATTGGTTATTCTCGACCACATTAAAATTAGCAATGAACACAATACTTCCCTCTGTAGAATTGTCTCTGTAACGATCCAAGATATGTTTTTGTGTAACAATTGCTTGTATCCTTTCACCCTACAAAATTAACAAAAAGAATATGAGTATAATAGGGTGAATGTTATTTGTAATGCTTTATTATATAAGTAGATAGGAAGTGTAATACCTCCTCACTAATGAGAAGCATGCTCATGTAGAACACCTCTGAAGGCTTGTTTTTTGGGAGTCATGTTCCATTTCTTGACAACTATTATAACAATAGACCATGTCTCCCTGGCTACATGAAGTTCTTTGACCAATTGATGCTTTCTTGGTGGCATATCAAGTGTTGAAGATGAGCTCATTGCACAATGAAGAAGTAGAAATTTTCTGGTTTGTAAGGACATGGTTGTGATTTAAAATGAAATCAGATGCTAAGGATAAGTAGATGCACAGCTCCAAATGAAATTGGTGGGAATAAGTAGATGCACAACAGTGATGTTAGCAAGTGATCATGTGATGGCGTGCGCATTGATAGTGTCAGTGGAAGTAAGTAATAAACACAGTGACAGTTTTTTAAGAACTAAAAGTAAAAGACTTTAGTGTAAAGGAAAAAACTAATGTGTAATATAGCAAGTAACTGATAGATAAACTATGTAACCTTAATGTCTTACATCCTATCATACTATTATATAAGGTATGTTTCTTGATAAAAAAGCGCAAGTCAGTTTCATGGGTCATTGCACAATGCTCGAAGAGTTCTTCTATACCTATGACTTCCAAAACATGTCCGATCAAAATTAATAAATAAGGAACCTTTATCAATGCAGTGATTAGCCAGACTTGTATCTATCAATCAATAGATTATTCATGATCTATGGGTAACAAAATCACGAAAGTAAAGCTTTTTGAGTGTCTTGTACATGATGACCCATGACTATAAAAATTTGCGTGATAGCAATTCCACTGTATATTATGCAGACCGAAAGAAATAAAAGGTTACATTATATTAACAACCATCATTCATGACTAATTCACTAACAGGTCCTCATGATTCATGTGATTCTTCACAACTAAATTGCAGCAATGGGTTAAGGTTTTTTTTTTTTAAAAAAATGTCATTCAGCTTGATAATTCAAATGTTTCAAGATTGCTAATGAAAAATGGAACATGGTGCAATAAATTGCAAGTTTCAAGATCTAAGTTTCAGTCCTCATTTTCATTTGAGGCCAATGGTAGTTTTCTGTCATTTGAGACCAATGGTTGCTGATATTATGGTTTAACTCAAGTGTTTTAAGATTGCTAATGAAAAAAGGAACATGGTGTAAGTTCTAAGTTTCAGACCTCATTTTCATTTGATGCTAACTGTTGCATTTTTTTTTTTGTACAAATGTCCATATTAAGCCATTGCACTTGTGTAGTCACAATTTCAAATTAGTGATATGTTTTGAAGAGGAACTTGTATCAATAATCAATTCTACTAGCAGCCCCTATGTTGTCCATTCAATTTCATGAGTGAGTTTGTTTTCTTCTAGGTTTTATTGAAAACAAATTTTCACTGAGGAAACAAATGGAAAGAGATAAAATATTAAGTTTTTTGCGCATGTGGTGTGGGCTTTGACTTTTGAGGCATGGGGGTTTCTATCTGATTTTGAGTGGAGCTTTTTCTCTTCTGAAGGAACACTATCCTCATTCAATAATGCTAATACTAATTACAACATAGAATAAACTGATTCATGCTTCTGGCATGTAGTTGAAGTGTAAGGGCTTGTAATTTATGTTGAGTGTTTTAATTTATCAGTTTCATGCACTGATGTTGTTTCTCTTTCACCCTTTTCTACAAACAGGTGAATTTTGTTTCTCTTTCCCCCTTTTCTGCAACCATGTTGAATTTTGAGAAATTTTAGTGTTTTCTTTTTTATTTACTTATTTATAAGGACATATGAAAACGACTTCAAAAAATAAACGCCGAACATCATTTACTTATCTATAAGACATGCATTGGGATCTGAACCCAAAATGAAGGTTAACTATTGCAATGATGTTCAGCACATCATCACAAACATATACTGGGTTATTTAATTATTAAGAGCAACTTGGTGAAGAGTAGACGCATATGGGACCAAATGAAAAACAAATCCCATTTGGGATCAAATAGAGCAACTTGGTTGAGAGCAATAATGTTCAGCATATTATTACAAACATATACTAGGTTATTTAATTATTGTGAGCAATTTGATGAAGAGTAGACGCATATGGGACCAAATAAAAAATAAACCCCATTATAGAGCAACTTGAGAATTCATAGACAGCGACAGAGTTCATAAAAAATAGACTTGACAGTTCCTAACATCAAATCTATTGCAACATAAAAAAAGCAAAAAGAGATCAATTTCATAGACGCAATCTTATAAGCCATGATTGTGGCTCATGCACGACTTCCTCCATGAAAATGAAGGCAGCAAGAGGGTGAAATCTAAGAAAGCTCTATATATATGAAGACAATGACGGTGAAAACAGGGGGAGGAGAAATCATGGTAACATGAGAGATGGAACTCAAACAGCTCATTAAGAAGTAATTGTTAGCTCAAGAAATAAATTAACTCGTCACTAACCTTTCTTAGAAGCTGATGAAGGATGCATGCCAATTCCCTTGTGAAGAGAACATGAAAATCTAGGGAACGCAAAAATCATAGCTATGAACTGAAGAATAATGGAGGTGGGAGAAGAGAGATGAAAGGGAGGTGATGTGCATCGACAGATGGGTCTGGTTATTACCTAATATGAAAGATTGTTGCATGATGGAAAAAGAAACTGACCTTCTGAAATGGCGGCAAGATCAACAAAAGTATCTTCTTTAATATCTCCATGTGAAATGTGAAAGAGAAGCTGTCTCAGGAGCCTCAATTCATCAGCTTGGAGCTAGTACTGTAGATACAGCCGGTTATTGCTCACTAAGCCATTTAAAAGAGAATGAGTGAGGAGCCGTGAGACCAAAGTGGCTTGCTTGGATCTATTTTGTTTTTCTGGGTTGATGATTTAAAAGAGGAGTGAGGAGCCGTGTGACCAGAGTGGCTTGCCTGGATTTGTTTTGTTTTTTAAGATTGATGCATAATATTACACTTTAGTTATTATACCCAACTCCCCGCTTTTGGACTTGTCTTTCACCTCATTACATATATGGCACTGTTACCAGTCTAACACTAATAATAAATCTTTATTTATATTAATTAGCATTGGAATGAGTTCAGCTAGGCTTCCACCAAATTTACATGTACCAGTTCAAATTTTTCTTTTGAAGATTTTATTATGTTTATTTAAGAAAAAGAAAATAAAAACAAATTTTAACTCATGAATTTTAACTTTATGATGAGGAGGCCTAAGTCAAGGTTAGACAAAAAATTGTATCATTAAATAGTAGAAGAAAACCATTTTAAAATTTATTAGATTAATTACGGTCGAATATATATGATTCAATGGATTATAATAAAATCAATATATTTTTATTTAATATATAAATATCTTATATAATTTTTATGAATTCCTAGCCCATTTTTGTTAGTTTTGATATCTACTTTTGAGAACAATATGAAAAAAAAATATTAGCGCCCTTGCAGCAATACAAAATAGGAAAATAATACTAAAATTTCTTTAAATTATATAAATGATAGTCTAGTCTCTTAAAATGACTTAATTGCACTGAAGTTCTTAGGAATCTCTATGTCAATAAATTTTAAATTAAAAAGATCATTTTATCTTTTGATAAGTTGTGATTTTTTATTTAATTCTTGTAATTTTTAAATAAAAATTATGTTTTAAAACAAAAGTTGTGATTATGACTTGTTATTTTAAGAATGTGTTTTTCAATAACAAAAACTAAACTTAAGAAGTTGTGATTTCTTATTCAACTCTTGCAATTCACAAAATAAAAATTATTATTCCTCAAATAAAAGTAGTGATTGAGACTATTTTTTCAATAATAAAAATTACATTTAATAAATTATGATTTGTTGTTCAACTTTTACGATTTACAAAAAAAAAATTACTATTTATTAAATAAAAGTTGTGATCGAGACTTGTTATTTTCAATAAAGGTAAAATAATTTTTTACTTTAAAATGTGTTGATGTGAAATTATGATATTTTAAAAAATTAAATTATTATTTATATAATTTTAAAAAAATTTTATTATCATTTTCTCATAAAAATTCATACTCCATTGAAATAATATTTGAATGACTAAAAGGTAAAGTTTGTGCAGGCCTCAGGACCCCGCGGGGGTGGAGGAGGAAGCTAAGATACTTTGATTTTTAAATGGAACTATGTATGAGATTGTGGACCCCTTCAGATATCTTTTTTTGTTTAAAAATATTTTATGAAGTCTAACGTAAAATTTAAGTCTACTACACATCTTTAGCAGAAAATTCGCTTCTACCTTTTAGAATTGGCCCATGTTTGAGCAATTAATAAGCAGTCAATTAACGTGCTTCTATTTACTTTCTGGTTTAATTATTATTATTTTTATTTGTAATTCATTCATTCATTTTGTTTACTTTGAATAATTTCATGTTCATTCATTCCAGTTTAATGTCTTAAATTTTAGTTGACACTTGACACCATGTTCGTTGTTTTTTTTAAAAAAAAATTATTGTGTTTTGAAATGATTCTTACTTGCTTTTTCAGTATCCGAATATTTTTAATTAATGTAATTGAAAAAAATGCAGATGACATTATTGAAAAAATAAGATACTTGTTAAGCTCTTAAAATAGACAAGTCAGTCCGGCAAAATACCTCTATACTGCAACCTAATTGTTAAAAAATTGTTAATTTATACAAGGGTCCAACTGCTACTTTAAATTTTATGTGATATATGAAAAATTACTTTGTTATATTCCGAAAGAAATATTACTAATTTCAGCAAACAGAAAGAAATAAATAGTACTAATTATTATTTTCTAAATAGTGGATGTTGTTAAAAAACTAAATACGTTTTTTTGGTTATTATACTGCAATCCAAGAGTCAGTATTATAACATGTAGATAATTCAGTTTTTCAGTACCATTTGATCTAATAATTAATACTATTTGATCTAATTTGAGTGTTATTAAAGTCAATAAGCTCTTCTAATGTGATTTTTCATTCACAAGATTCAAACCACATTGACAAAGGATGGATCTCCTATTTTGGGCTCATCTCACTAAACACTACAGCAAAGAGGCACTAGAAAAAAGTGGCAAAAGTTTTGTATGCATATACGTATGTACATGTCTCTATATTTGTGTATGTTTGCAAACTACAAAGATAAAGTCTATTAAGCCCATTATGCAAGTCAATATGGGTTTTTAATATAACTATTGTCTCAGCATTAGCACGTTGTGCAAGCGAGCTAGTGCAGGCATTGGCTTCTTTTAAAAAAGATGAATGCATTGTTGGTATAAAATTTAACATATGAGAGAGCATATGTAAATATTTAAAAAATGCGTGGCCATTATTATCATTTAGCTTGAATAAAGTGATCTATTTGAAAAAGTTTTAAAGCTTAAGGAGTGTAAGTTATGTAATTGATATGTGAAGATCATAACTGGTAGATATTTATAATTTGTTGAATGGTCAAATTGCAAATATCATAAACTTATATAAGAGTTGTGGTTCTCAAGTTGGGTATGACAAAAAAGTAGTTCTTTGGCCTCCTTCAAGGGAACCATGTATGAGGAAATTTCATAATCTAAAAGATCACAGTGCCAATTCATCAATCCATGGAATCCTATGATATTTCTCATTACGAATTCAAGTACGCTTCTGCATTAATGTTTTCTATTTCTCTAAATTAATATGGGTTTTATTCAAGTTTATGGCCGGATTTGTTTGCAATCATTTCTATACATTTGAGTAGGAACTAGATTAATTAAGAACAAGCAACTCCAACATGTATCTTGTTTCCCATTTTCCTAGTCACGCTGAATAAGTCTAAACAAGTCTTGAATGCATATATAATTATTATATATATTTGAAACAGAAAAGGAGCTCTATATACAAGTGGGAATAATAGGTTGCATGCCCTAATTATCGGCATAATAAAAGGAGGTTGGGTTGTCTTTTTGAAGACATTCAAACTTTGGCCCACTTATAATAATAATTTACAATTCAAGAGAAAGACAAGTCGCCATGCTACTTCATAAACCCAGGCACATAAGTTACAATTCTTGTGCCTTTAATTTGTAGCATTTATTACGTAACATGGTAAAGTTTTTGCAATCCAATAATTCGATTGTAGCTTTGATTGTTTGAATTCAACATTATACTCTATTTATTCAAAAATATAAAATATTTTTCATGGGTTGAATGTTAATTTTTAGTATTTCAAAGCATAATTAATGTGCTTGTACCAAAAATGCTTCTAATAAATAAATCACTTTATATTTATTTTAAAATAAAATACTGTTAAATAAGAGTAAATATAAAAAAATAATGTTGGTTTGAAGATAATTAATTACTTTTATTGATAGTGAAATTTAATTAAAAATATTTTATATTTTTTAATAGAGAGAATAACAAAATTTAAGATGTACATAGAATTGAAACCAAATGTTTATATTATATTAACACAACTACATTGAGGAAAACATATATAGCATACGAGATAAAAGTGTTTACAATATGAAGACTATTGTTATGTCAAGAATGTAGTTGTTATTAATTTGATTTTTTTAAGAATTTAACTGTTACTCTCACTTTTTTTGGGCCAAATTCGAAATTCATCTTTCGTATGCGTAAAAATAAAATAAAATAGAATAATCCTCACAATATGAAAATCTGTGCTAGAATTGCAGTTTATTTTAATATTTCCCCTCCTAATTCTACACTAATTGTCTATCATGTCAAATATAAAGATACATTTTTTTAAAAAAAAAAAAAAGGACTTAGCTACATAATAATCTAATCTTGGGTCATATTCAAAGAGTTTCTCTCCATATGTTTCATGTAAAATACCTAATATTACTCTTTAGTTATTACACCCAACCCCCAACTCTTGGACTTGTCTTTTACGCCAATACATCTATGGAGCTCTTACCAGTCTAACAGTCTAACACTAACAATAAATATTTATCTATATTAATTAGCATTGGAATGAGTTAGGCTTCCACCAAATTTATATGTAACTGCTCAAATTTTTCTTTTCGAAGATTTTATTATGTTTATTTAAAAAGGAGTATGAATAAAAGCCAATTTCAACTCATGAATTTTGAATTTATGATGAGGTCGTCTAAGTCAAGTTTAGACAAAAAATGCATCATTAAATAGTGGAAGCAAACCAGTTTAAAATTTATTATATGAGTTTCATCGAAAAAAAATTATTATATTAGTTATGGTCGAATATAAAGGATTCAATGGATTATAATAAAATTAAGATATTTTTATTCAATATATAAATATCTTATATAATTTTTTATGAATTCCTATCTCCCCCATTTTTGTTACTTTTGATATCTAATTTTGAAAACAATGTGAAAAAATATTACTGCCCTTCCAGCAATAAAAAATTCATACTCCATTGAAATAATATTTGAATGATTAGAAGGTAAAGTTTGTGGACCTCTTCAGATTTTTTTTTTTTTGTTTAAGAATATTTTATGAAGTCTAACGTAAAATTTAAGTCTACAACACATCTTTTGCAGAAAATTCACTTCTATCTTTTAGAATTGACCCACGTTTGAGTAATGTAAAAGCAGTCAATTACCATGCTTTTTTGAATTATCCAAATGATATTTTTGTCTCTCGAAATGTTATAATTTTTCTAAAGTCTTTATGAACTTTTTTATCATTAAAAACTTAATATAAAAAGATTAAATCGCTCTTAATTGAAATAAAAATCCTAAATCTCATAACAAATACTTGTAAACTTGTGAATTACTGCTGAATTCTTACGATTTTAAAAAAAAAAGTTGTGAATATTAGAACAAAACTTGTAAATGATAATTGATATTTGCAATACTTGAAGAATATTAAAATTTTAAGTACAAACTTCTGGATTGCTATTGAATTCTTGTGACGTTAAGAAGAGTTGTGAATATTAAAATAAAACTTGTGAATGACAATTGATATTTGCAACACTTGACGAATATCATATTTCAAAAGCAAACTTGCAAATTGTTGTTGAATTATT